GGGCGGGGCTTGGGGGCGGGCCACCCTAATAGGTCTACTGCATAATCATGAGCTGCGGCGAGAAGGGCGCGAGTCTCGGTGCACTTCAGGAGGAGCGAAGGCCAGGGAAAAGGAGGAGCTATGCTAATAAGGGCCGGGGAACGACGTTCCCTGAGAGGGGGAATTCCGAGGGGGGCGGGGATATGCTAATAAGGGAACTGCGCTCACGCCGAGCGGCGCCACGCGCTCTGGGCTGGCTGGTCGTCTGGGGGCGGAGCTATGCTAATACAAGCTCTCATTCTTTGGGCGGACGGGTGGGAAAGATCGTTCCGGGAGGGGCTATGCAAATAAGGAACTCCGCGATACAGCTTCTCAGGGTACCCTCCCCGAGGCCTTGATCTAGTAGGTGGCGCCCGCCGGCTCGCGCGCGGCCGTATATAGGCGCGCTCCGAGGAAAAGAGCTGGTCCTGAGGGGAAGCTCCACCTCCGTCCTGGGATCCTAGCCAAGCTCCCGACCCGGGCGTCTGGGCTGGATATCGTAGTCTCCGCCCGCTGAGAGACCCAGGCTTCCGGTTCCCGCTGTCCCAACCAAGCGGAAGACAGACTGGGAGGGGAGTTGGGGCCCTGGAGGAGGACAGCCGAGTAACGGGGCAGGGAGGGGCCGTGAGATCACTGCATTCCTGATCCATGAGCCAGCTCGCCCTAGCGGGGACGCCTGGGTCATGAAAAGCAGAGCCAGGATTTCTGGGTGTGTGAAGGAGGAGGAAGCTGACGGCCCTGACTCCTGGGTCCTTAGGAGAGAATGGGGCTGGAGGCCTGGGCTGCTGTATCCCGGAGAGGAGGGGATCTGGGATTCCTTATTACTAGGACTACTTATGTCCCGTAAAGGAGGAAGTTGAGGGCCCGGACTCTTGGGTACAGGGGTTGGAGGGGCTGGGAACCCAGAATTCTTGATCGCGAGGGAATTGGGGTGGGGAACCGGAACACTTGTGTTCATGTAAGGTACGAGCTTGAGACCAGAAATGGTCTGAGGGCCCAACTCCTGGATCTAAGGAAGGAGGTGGGCTCGGACTCCCGAGTCGCAGGGAGCAGGGAAATGGGAGTCCGAACTCCTCTGCCGAGTGAGAGGAATAGGGATTTGGACTTTTCTATCCTAAATAAGGAGGCTTTGGGCTGGCCTTCTTGGTTCTAAATTTAGAGGGGACTGGGGGATCGGGATTCTGAGTTCCCCAGACTGTAGGCGAGGCAACTTGTAGGCAATGCAGCTTTTTTTTTTTTCCTACTGCCCACTCCACAGAACTACAATTCCCTTGCATCTCTCGGGCGAAGTGTGTTTAGGTCACTTCCTGTTCCTCAGCGCTTTCCGCGCGCGCGCAGGGCATTGTGGGGCTTCCTCGCGGGCTGCCGCAACCCCGCCTACTTCACCTTTCACCTCCATGCTGTCCCCGCGTGAGGGAGGTGGCGTGCGGACTACGCCTCCCGGCGTGCGTCGCGCGCACCTCTGCCCAGGTGCCCCATTGACTGTTGGGAAACTGAGTCCAGAGCCTTCCCACCAGCCTTTACGGCACCGTGCACGGTACTTGAAGTCCCGGCAAGCTCGGCGGCGCTTTAGCTCCGCCCCGCTCCTCCCTCTGCTCGCGAACCTCCCTAG